AGTTCAAATTCCTTTTGATGGAGTAGGGTATAGATCATGGAGACGAAGTGTTCTTAGAGTCTTGTCAGTTAAGAATAAACTGGGTTTTATCAATGGTGATTGCAAAAGGCCCGATCCAGGAACATCACAATTCCGTCAATGGGGAAGATGTGATGACATGGTTACTTCCTGGATTCTTAACTCCTTGGCTAAGGAAATTGCAGAAAGTGTGGAATATGTTTCTGATTCATTCGAATTGTGGAAGGAGTTGGAAGATCGATATGATCAGACTAATGGTGCAAAGTTATACCAGATTCAGCGTGAGATCAATGAACTATCACAGGGAAATTTAGACATTACTACTTACTATACTAAGATGAAAAGGTTGTGGGAAGAGTTGAATTGCATATCAGAACTCAATGTAACTGTAATTGCACTTGTGGAGCTAAGGATAGTATGTTTAAGGCAGAGCGGGATAGGAGATTGATACAATTCCTTATGGGATTAAATGAGGTCTATACTGTAATTCGAGGGAATATCCTCATGATGAATCCATTGCCTTCCCTAGCACAAACTTTTTCTTTGTTAGTACAGGATGAAAAACAGAGAGAGATTAAACCTAATGCTCAGGTGTTCATGGAGTCTGCAGCTCTGAATGCAGGCAATTCAGGGAAGAAGGTCATGGAGTTTGTTGCTTTCAATGCAAATGGCTCGGCAGGAGCAAGTACTTCCAGGTCCACAAGGCCAAATTATTCTTCTACAGACAACACCAACACCAATTTTAGAACTAACTATTCTCAGACCAATTCCTACATTGGTAACAGGACTCGTATTATATGTGATTACTGCAAGAGACCAGGACACATCAAGGACAAATGTTATAAATTGCATGGTTCCCAAGTGTGGTTTGTATGTAATGCCTCAAACTCCTGTGTCATGGCATATTGCCATGCAAGGTTCATAGCAGCCTCCCCATACGAAGAAGGTTCATCATCATTACTGACATTTCTCACAAGTGATTGACTCTCAAGTGCCAAGACTCCAGGTGATATATGTTGGTGTTTGGAGAAGGCAGAGTTCAGGGAAATATTTGAATTTTGTAAAGGTTTAGTCATAGGTCTGGGAAGAACATAATCATGAAGGTATGTGGGTAATTTATGTGGTCTAGAGGGTCTGCAGGAGACTGTAGGTTCAGGATTAAAGGGCTGAATGGTGGTAGGAGAATCAGTTACATGATTAGGTGAAGTGTGAGGTAAAGTGTCACTTGCTTCAATTACATTATTTTCAACATGTTGTACAGTTTGTGACTCAATGTTAGGATGCACAGTATCTATGAAAGGCACAGAATGCAAGACAGAAGGAAAAGAAGAGACATCAGGAAGAACAACAAAAGGAAAAATGCTTTCTTTAAAAACTACATCCCTGGAGATGTGTATCTTTTTAGTGTCTAGACTGAGAACTTTGTAACCTTTTGATCCAAAAGGATAACCTAGGAAGATGTGTGGTGTGGTCCTAGCTTGGAATTTGTCCCTATGAGGTTTTGGAAGAGTAGGATAACAAAGGCAGCCAAATGTTCTCATGTGGGAGTAAACTGGCTTAGTGTTATATAATAGTTCATAAGGACATTTGCCTTTCATATGAGAAGTGGGGAGCCTGTTAATAATGTATGTGGCACATAACACACACTCACCCAAGTATTTAAGAGGCAATTTAGATTGAAAAAGGAGAGCCTTAGCAGTTTCTAATAAGTACTTATGTTTTCTTTCCACCACCCCATTTTGTTGTGGTGTGTAGGGACATGTTTTCTCATGGATTATTCCCTTAGTTTTAAGAAAGGCTGTGGTTTCAGTATTTACAAATTCAATCCCATTGTCAGTTCATATTGTTTGAACACAAGTGTTGAATTGAGTTTGAATCATAGACAAGAAATTTTGATGACTTCTAAGGTGTTACTTTTACAAGTCAACAATTGAGTCCATGTACATCTGTTATAATCATCAACAAGAGTGATAAAATACCTATAGTTATCATATGTCACCATATGATAGGGACCCCATAGATCTATATGTAGCAATTGAAAGATTCTGGTAGAAGTATGGGTACTGTGAGGAAAAGGTAGTCTTTCTTGCCTTGCCATTGGGCAAATATTACAAAGGAAAGGTTGTTTGGCAGAAAAATTCTCAGGTATGGACTTAATTTCTCTCATTTTCACAAAAGGTACATGTCCAAGTCTATTATGCCACAACACATTCACATCATTGCAAGCATGAGTCAGAAAACAAGCAGAAACATTAGGACTTTTATTGACTAAAACACAGTGTTGAGTACATGTACATGAAGAAGCAGGAAAAGAAACAGACTTGGACTTAGAATCACATGTACTGTGTATTCAAAGGGGTATACTCATTCATTGAATGATTATTCCTTGTTCCATAAGATGTCTGAAAATTCCAGCATTTTTGTTGCTGTCTATGTAGATGATGTAATTCTAACAGGCACAAGTGATTCTGAGATTGAAGAACTCAAAATCTTCCTCCATGACAAGTTTAAGATTAAGGACTTGGGAAGGTTACACTATTTTCTTAGGATGGAAGTACTCTACAAGGAGGATGGACTTATTATCTCTCAAAGGAAGTTTGTTCTTGACTTGTTAAAAGACTACAAAGTTGCAAGTATGAGCAGTTGCAACTCTCCACTTGAACCTGCAGTGAAACTACATGCCAAGGAAGGAGCTCATTTATCAGAACCTCTCTTTTATAGAAAGCTTGTTGGGAAGCTGAATTTCTTGACTAACACTAGAATGGATATTGCATACAGTGTGCAACATCTCAGCCAATTTATGCAGGACCCTCGAGAACCTCATTTACAAGCAGCTTTTCACATATTGAGGTACCTCAAGGCAGACCCCACTCTGGGAATTTTCATGTCCAAAGATCAATCATACAATGTTAAGGCCTATTGTGACTCTGACTGGGCTGCATGTCCTGACACCAGGAAGTCTGTAAGTGGTTATATTGTCTTGTTAGGCAACAATCGACTCAGCTGGAAGTCCAAGAAACAAGAGACTATATCTCTGTCTTCAGCAGAAGCAGAGTATAGGGCTCTCAGGAAAGTTGCAGGAGAATTAGTCTGGCTCAGCAGACTATTAACAGAACTCACATTGCAATTCCCTATGCCTATTGAAGTATACTGCGACAGTCAATCTGCTCTGCACATAGCTAGAAATCCAATATTTCATGAACGCACTAAACATATTGAAGTTGATTGTCACTTTATGAGAAATCTACTTCAGTCATGCCTTATTTCACTACACCACATAAGCTCTGATAATCAACTGGTAGATATATTGACGAAGACATTGACCGGGTTTAAACATTCTACAGCATTAATCAAGTTGTCAGTGTTCTCCACACCTTCAACTTGAGGGGGGTGTTATGAGTTAGCTAATTATGATAGTTAGTTTACTAGTCTAATCAGTTAGTTAGTCTATTCAATTAATTAGTTAGAATAAGTTTGTTATTGATTCCTTTCTATTAACATGTCAACTCACTAGTTAGTTAGAGTTTTGCTTTTCTCATTCTGTATAAATGTGTACTCTCATCATAATAGAAATCAGTTAATTGATTCTTCTCAATTATGTGTCATCCTCTCTGCTCTCTCTTTGTCAATTGCATCCATGGATGACTAGCCATGGTCATGAGGTATTCTTCACAGTAAGTTTGGTGGTTTAGTACTATTGTTGCTTCGCAATCACTATGTGTAAGACAACACAAAAATACTATAGACATTTTCTATTTTAACCACATGCTGGAAGACCATGTTTTCTTAGTTTGGTACAATGACGACATTGGCTATATTTTATCTGAATCAAGAGGGAGTTCAGATATCCATTCATTGCAAATTCGTAGTTTCGATTGATCCTCAAAAGTTTAGACTGAATGGAGAATTGAAACACATATGTATGTTCGTTTATGAAACAAGTAACTTTGATGTATCGAGGGCTTCTTCCTGACTATTCTCGCCTTATAAATATTCCCAACTATTGTCGCGTCATATGTATTGGCCCGTGCGAAGCACGGGCAATGAATCATCTAGTATGCCTAAACAAACAGACAATAATGTGACAATACAAAAGTAGAATTAAGAAGTGGAAATGTAATGTTTGTGTTGTACTGTATTGTTGTAATTCACACCTTGTTTGGGTAGTTGTACTATATTGTTAGTCTAAATGTAAAGTTTGTGTTGATTGTTATTTAAGTTTTATTGTATTGTATCGTTTAAATCTATCGCTGGTGGCATGGGCTCCATATCAACCAAATAGATCTAACAATCCATATCAACCAAAGGCTTCAAGCCCATATAAAGTTGGTGGGCTCTGGGGCCTCATAAACACTACAATAAAAATAACTTTTAGCGGCAATAAATAGACACATTAATAAAGAGTGCTAAAGTCTTTATTAGCATTAGTTAAGTGTCATTAGATCTAATGTCGCTAAAGCCTTTAGGGACACATACAAAGAGTGTTAATTGCCGCTAAAGCTCATTTATTTACTTTTCTATAACAACTTGGAGACTGTCACATCCTGTGTTTTCTTCAATCTCTCTTTTGATATTCATAGCTGAAACCCCTAGAGACTCCATGCAGTCAATCAGTTCAATACGTCTTAGGGTTAGAATATCCGCAAAGCTTGGGGGGATCTCCTTGATCTCCTTGAAACCGGGCCATCCACTAATAACTAGCTTCTCAAGCACAGGAAACGATTCCTCTGAAGCTTTCCATTCTTCTATCTGCATAAAGAATAATCCCAAGTATTTGAGTGCAGCAAACTCCACATTTGTGACATCCCAACAATATCTCATAGAAGCAAATCCCATAGATAATTGAAGACTCTCAAGCTTCTTCAGTCTTGCAATGTTTAAAACCATTTCTTCCGTCAAGAAACAGGTGGCAAGGTCCACATGCCTAAGATTTGAAGGGAACACACAATACCTCTCCCATCCAACTGAATCAAATAATTCCGTTAAAGAGAACTCCAGAGTAAGAAAATGAGGTGACTATGAACTTCCGCTATGGGAAACAACGGAAACTCAGGTACAACTTTAACGTTGAGGCCGAGTTCTTCAAGATTCGGAAACCTCCACCACAACCTTGCATTCATATTATCCAAGCGTATATCACAAGTACCAAAACTCTTCATGTTCTCTAGCATAGTTGCTGAAGAACTTTCTTGCTCATTGTTTTCCCATACCATGAAAAAACAGTCTATTTTCACATGCCTTAGGTTCGTCATTTCTGATAAAGTAGCAGCCCTTAGGCGTAACTTCTCACTTGACTTGACCTGCAGGTTATTCCACGTATTGAGTTTTGGATGAGCAATGAACTCCAAAGAATTTGTTTCCTTGAAATCGAGCATTGGAATCTTATCCAGCTGGTAGTTGGTATGATCTAATTGTTTAACAAGATCATCATGAATATAAATGCACAACCGTGATTCCGTGGAATGCAAATGTTGATACGGATTGAATGGCACTGCAAGCTGCATATACTTGTCTTCTGTGAGTTTTCTCAAGCAGAACTCACGCACTACATCATGAAGTGAGCAGTATTGTACATCACGATAAAATCTCATTCCGGAGACCATTATTAGGCTTCTGTTAAGCAAATCAGTCATGCAGACTCGACATGCTTTCTCCATGTTCTCTGTTCTGGAATTCAATACAAACTCTTCAGCCATCCACAACTTCAGCAGATGGTCCACTGGGATCTTATGGTCTTCTGGAAACAATGCCATGTAAAGAAGGCAAGGCTTTAAGTGATCTTCTAAATGGTCATAACTTGATTGTATCACCTTCATACTCTGCTCTCCTAAAGCAAGGGAACTCAAGTCATTTGCAACCTCGAGCCACAAGGACGCCTCCCTTTCCCTTTTTGCTATAATTCCAGCAATCAAGACAACCACAAGAGGCAATCCCTTACAGTGTAGGGCAACTTGTAACCCTGCTTCCAGTAGATCCGGGGGACAACTCTCTCCTCGAAATACCTTCTTCTCCAATAATTCCCAACTCTCTTCGGACGTTAGAAAGCTAAGAGAATAAGGATCACTGTGGTGCGGAAGATGCTTAGTCACTTCTTCAATTCGTGTTGTGACCATTACTCTGCTTCCACATTCACCTTGAGGGAAACATATTCCCAAATCTTCCCATGCCTTGACATCCCAAACGTCATCTAATACGATAAGGTATCTCTTGCCTATTAGAACCTTGCGCAACATGTCAGCTACATCATCGTCCTCTTTGATTTTGATCTTATCATTTGTAGCTTGTTTGAAAATCTCAACCAATAACGTCCTCCTATCATATGCTTGCGACACAGAACACCGTGCTTTAACATCAAAGTAATTAACAATAGAGGGATTGTTGTATACCTTTTTTGCCAAAGTTGTTTTACCTAGTCCGGGCATCCCATAGATGGAGATAACATCCCGCTTCTTAGTTCCTCGTATCAATTTATTCATTATAATTTCTGCATGTTTCTCAAAGCCGACAACTACATCATCATAAATTGATGTAATACTAGGTTTGTTTGAAGTCTCTCCAGAAAAAAGAGTTCCTTTTCCACGAGTGCCAACAACCTCCATGGCTTGAGTCAATTGCTTTGTCACCTTTCATAAAAGAAATGAAAACAACGTCACTTCAGAATTCAGAATTTAGAAGAGAAGAAAAAAACCAAACCCAAACATATCAAAGTAATGTAACATATAAAGGGTATTTTCTTTCAGTTACTGGAGATATTAATTCTAGGCGCCCCTGAGTCAAAATTCGCTACTCAATAAACTTTTATACAGTGATTCATCAAGTTTTGTTTAAATCCTTTTCCCTTATAGTGGCAGATCGGATCCCAGACTTAAATATGCGAGTTTCACCTTAATATTATTTCTTAGTATTGACAAAGAAAAATGGAATAATTCGTCAATTGATACTATTACAGAGAATTACAGAGAAGAAACAAATTCCGGGAGTAATCTCGAGGAATATGAACAACTAGTTCAGGAATTAAACCCGAGAATTCAGCTAAAGAGAAAAATATAGAGAGAAGAAAACAATCTTATCATCAATGAATGTCTATGATCTAATACAATCCCTTTATAAGCTCCTAGAGATGGCTAAATCAGTTAAAACCCAAAGCTACAGTAATAACAGAATTTAACCATCTAACAGTAAAGTTTCGAAGCTCAAATTTTAAAATTTAACCTACAGTAAATATGTTAATCATTTCGAATAAATAATATATGAAAAGACTTGAAATGTTGAGAAGAACTCATATCTAAAATTTAAAACTGTTTAAAGAGGAGTTTTGAGTTGGTTGAGATTGAATAAAAAAACACATCAATGAAGAAGATGAAATGTTGTAATATATAAATATTACACATAGTAATGATTCGTAATTTCTAATTTAGTTTAACAACTCTAAAATTTAACTTCTGAATGGAACAAATCCCCTAGTAAATAAGTAGAGAAGCAAATTAAATAAAATAAAATAAAAGTTCAAAATAACCAAGAAAAAACTGATTAAAGAATAGTAATGAATAATGATGTGAAGAAAATAGAGTAAAATGTATGGAAAAAAAAAAGAAAACAATTTAGAAATCTGACCTTAATTGGGTTATTGAGAAGATTGCTTAATTTGATGCTTTTGTGTTCAGAGAAATGGAAACTGATCAGAAAAATAAAGGAAGGAGATGGTGGACTTGAATGATATAAATAATTGTTGATTAAACAAATAAATAAATACATATTATTTTAAATTCTCAATCAACAGCTGTAGCCTGTATTTATTGAACCCCACGTTTCCGATCGGAAAAGATAACTTTGTTTATGCTTCCATTTCATATTATTTAATTCACGTTCATATGACATTTTACTTGATATAATGGTACAGTATTAAAAAATAAAGAAGACTTTTTATGATTATATTTTAAATTTTATGATTTTAACTTTGAGCATGTCATATGAAAAGTTGAAATTAAAGTATTGTCACAAAAAGAATGAAAAATGTTATTCTTTTTTTAAAAAAATTAAAAAGAAAGAAGATCATTTTATTTTTTTTGAACGAAGGAAGTACCCCTATAATTTATTTTACTAGTTCTGGCCACATATGTCTCATCCTAAGTTGTGCAGAGTTGTTATAACGATATATATATACTTGGACATGTATGTTGCTCGTGTATTCCATGCTAATTAAGTACAAGAACTTTTAAAATATTATAATAAGTGCGTGATAAGTTGCACAAAAATTGAAGAAAAATATACAAGCTCAAACCAATAACTTCAATTATGAAATTCTTATAATATATCAAATATTCAATTTGATAAAAGCTTCTTTTGTTTAATATGTCATAACTTATAATTTAAATGTCAAGTGTGATTTCAAAATATTTCTTGTCTTAAGTTTTGCATATTTTTTTCACCTTTGTAGTCTCCACCTTTTCACATTTGCATACGTATTAAGAAGTTGTTGTCGAATAAGAGTAGTGTTTTATATAGAAATTTGATCAATCTATGTCTTCCTTAAGATGACTAGTAGATGGTCATTGTGCAATAACTTGCATAGTAATTGGAGAGAAAATATACAAGCTCAAACCAGTGAATGATGAGCTTATTCAATCAAGATTATTATCAGTACAAGCTACATCATGCTGCTGAAATATTGCTATCAAATGAATTTCAAAAGTAATATTAGAACAATTTTAATATGTAATTTTTTTAATATATCATATATGCAACTTGATAAAATTTCTTTTTAATATGCCACAACACATAAATTAAGCGTCTCTTATTAATTCAAAATATTTCATGTTCTAAATTTTTTGCCTTCTTTCTAAGGAAAACAAAAGAAACTCAGTTGGCAATTGTGGAAACTACTAACCGGCCAACTGCCTTGAGTTAATTGTTCAGTCATCTATCATTAGGAAAACAGTTGAAAAAAAAAACATTATTTTATAGAGTAGTAACACAGAGGTGTTATAATTGTAAGAAAAAAATTACAAAAAGAATCCGATTAAGGAACTGCACTGTATAATGATGTCAAAGTAAAATTTGATGCTTTAATTTTGGGTTTAGAGAAGTCGAAATTGAAATAAGAGAGGATGGAGATATATTGAAGAAAGTAATGTGTAATGTAAAGAGCAAACGATGTTTACGTGGAAATCTTTTTGCTCATGGGAGGAAAAAACCACGATCTGTCTCACATGATTTCAGCAACAACTCCATTAATCATCCAGCCAAGATTCAGATTACAAACTCTTGTAACCTAGGATCTAAACGCTTAATCTCTTCCCCTTGTAACACCTCTATTATAAGACAAGCTAAGCAATAACTCTACTGTCCACCATACCAACTAACTCTAGCTGATATAGACTTCAACAATAACATTACAAGACTGAAATATACATGACAACATAGATCAATAAATGATGTGAAAAACTTTTCAAACAAACTTCAGAACTAGAATGATGTTGGGATCATCCAGACAATTTTAGCTTGCAATTCAAATAATAACAACTCCTTAGCTTTCATCTCTTCAACCTGCATGTACAAGAGGCGAACATAAGTTACTAAAAAAAATATTATATTATGTGGTAACTGGTAAGACAGAGTTAAGTTAAAGATGAGTTGAACTGACTTACCATCTCAGCTTTAGTAGTCCTACAATATAAGAACTTGGAGACGATCACATCCAGAGGTTTCTTCTATTTCAGTTTTTATATTCATAGCTGAAACCAGAAGAGAGTCGTCACAGTCAATCACTTCAATAAGTCGCAGTGTTGGAATATCCACAAAACTAGGAGGGATCTCCTTGAAGTAGTAACCATCGTGTATAACTAGCTCCTCAAGCACCGGAAAGGATCCCTCTGAAACTATCCATTCGTCCATCTGCATATCAAGTAGTATCAAGTATTTGAGTGCAGAGAACTCCACGTTTCTGACGTCCCAACAATAGCTCTCTGTTCTCACCAAAGGAGCTCCCCCATCTAATTTGAGACTCTCAAGCTTCCGCAATCTTGCAATGTTTGAAATCATATCTTTCGTCAAGAAACAACCATTTAGGGACAGATCCCTAAGATTTGAAGGGAAGACAAAGTAGCTCTCCCATCCAACTGAATCCCAGAATTCCGTCAAAGTAAACTCCAGAAAAAGAGAATGAAGGCAAGTATGAACTTCCGATATGGGAAACAAAGGAAACTTAGGTGCATATTTAATGCGGAGGCTGAGTTCTTCAAGATTTGAAAACTTCCACCAAAACCTTGGATTAATATCATACCTACTTATATAGCAAGTGTGAAAAGTCTTCAAGTTCTCTAGCATAGTTGTTGAAGATTCTTGGTCATTGTATTCCCCTCCCAAGGAAAATGTTCTATATTCACATGCCTTAGTTTCGTCATTTCCCAAAAAGAAGCACCCCTTATGCATAACTTCTTATGTGACTTGACCTGTAGAGTTAGGAGATAGCGTAGGTTCGATATCCACTGCAATTCAAAATTTCCAACATAAAGTGCAAGGTACCTCAACTCGGTTAGCTGTAGTATTGCATTAACCCATGAATATGGCAACTCCACATCCATCAAATGCAATGCCCGAACATATCTTAATTCAACAAGTAAATATAAAGTATTTAATCGGTTATTCAATGTACTGAGTGTTGGATGAGCAATGAACTCCATGTTATTCCATGTATTCATGAGTGTTGGATTTGATCGGTCATTCCATAATTGTTCAACAAGATCATCATGAATATACATGCATAACCCTGATTCCTTGGAATGCAAATGTTGATACGGATTGTATGGCACCTGCGAGCTGCATATACTTGTCTTCTATGAGTTTTCTCAAGCAGAATTCACGCACTACATCATGAAGTGAGCAGTATTCTACATCACGATTAATTCTCATTCCGGAGACCATTATTAGGCTTCTGTTCAGCAAATCACTCAAGCAAACTCGACATGCTTCCTCCATGTTCTCTGTTCCGGCATTCAATACAAACTCTTAGCCATCCACAACTTCAGCAGATCGTCCACTGGAACCTTATGGTCCTCTGGAAACAATCCCATGTAAAGAAGGCAAGGCTTTAAGTGGTCTTCTAAATGGTCATAACTTGATTGTATCACCTTCATACTCTGCTCTCCTAAAGCAATGTAACTTAAGTCATTTGCAACCTCGAGCCACAAGGACGCCTCCCTATCCATTTTTGCAATAATTCCAGCAATCAAGACAACCACAAGAGGCAATCCCTAACAGTGTTGGGCAACTTGTAACCCTGCTTCCTGTAGATCCGGGGGACAACTCTCTCCTCGAAATACCTTCTTCTCCAATAATTCCCAACTCTCTTCGGAAGTTAGAAAGCTAAGAGAATAAGGATCACTGTGGTGCTGAAGATGCTTAGCCATTTCTTCAATTCGTGTTGTTACCATTACCCTGCTTCGGTCTTCACCTTGAGGGACACATATTCCCAAATCTTCCCATGCCTCGACATCTCAAATGTCATCTAACACGATGAGGTATCTCTTGCCTATTAGAACCCTGCACAACATATCAGCTACATCATCGTCATCTTTTATTTCGATCTTATCATTTGTAGCTTGTTTGAAAATCTCAACTAATAGCGTCCGCCTATTATATGCTTGCGATACAGCACACCATGTTTTAACATCAAAGTAATTAACAATAGAGGGATTGTTATACACCTTACTTGTCAAAGTTGTTTTACTGAGTCCGGGCATTCCATAGATGGAGATAACATCCCGCTCCTTAGTTCCTCGTATCAATTTCTTCATTATAATTTCTGCATCTTTCTCAAAGCCCACAACTTCATCATCATCATAAATTGATGCAATACTACGTTTGTTAATTTCAATTGGCAATTGTGGAAACTACTAACCGGCCTACTGCCTTGAGTTAATTGTTCTATCACCTTTCATTAGGAAAACAGTTGAAAAAAAATAAAATTATTTCATAGAGTAGTAACACAGAGGTGTTATAATTGTAAGAAAAAAATAACAAAAAGAATCCGATTAAGGAATTGTACGGTATAATGATGTCAAAGTAAAATTTGATGCTGTAATTTTACTAATCTATTACAAGACAAGCTAAGCAATAACTCTACTTCCCACTATACCAAATTACCAACTAACTCAAGTTGATATAAACTTCATCAATAACTCAACGTAACTAACCCTAGCTACTAACTCGACTTAACGATGATTACAACTGAAATGATTTAAATTACTTTATAGCATAGGAATAGATCTTACACCGTTAAAGCACAAGACATTAACCGCACATAACAACTAAAGACTCAAGAAAATAGAGTAAAATGTATGTTGAATATGAAAAAATAAATAAAACAATTTAGAAATCTAACCTTGAGATATTGAGAAGAAGTGTAATGACCCTCATGGTCATTTCTGTGTCTTGCCTTTTGTGTGTCGTTTAGAGCGTTCCTATAGCGACCCCAAGTCATTTATGACTTGCTGGGACTGACAGTTCGGTCACCTGGTCGTTCGTTTGGTCTTGGTGCGAGTTTTTGTGTTTTGGAGCTTATGAACCTTGAATAATCATTTTCGATCAAAAGTTCAAGGAGATGACATCAGAATCCAATTCTGACGATTCCATCAGCTCCGAAAGGGTCATTTTAGGCTAGTAGCATGGTCGACATGACTCTCGAGGTTTTCAGTGTGAGTCGGTGCGATTAGGCGTTTTAACTTTAAGTTTAAGCCTAAGTTTGACTTTGGTCAA